CTCTCTAGCTTCAACAGCACAAGGTCTGCTTCGACTATCAAGGCATCCCGGAAATAGCAGGTCACAAGAGAGTGACAAACATACAAAAGAAGTAGAGGAAAATGACAATAGTAGGGATTAGGAAAGAAAAAGCAGCAGTTCCCTGTTGTAGATCAGGCAGTTATGAGCGTGACATGAATCAGCCCATTTACAATTCTACTGCGCTTGAACAAGAAATGTCCCCCCTTTGGGAATGGTCTAAAGACACTACAGTCATTGGCACTGCCCCGGGGGGTACACACTGACTGTTATCATTATAAATAACATATGTGTAACAGCAGAGCAAGCCTACCCACAATTGCTTTGATTAAATATTTATTTGTGCGAGTGAGAATGTATGTAATCCTTCCATTGTAAATACAGTTGAAATTGTACAAGACGGCCACTCAGCTTGTCAACTCAAAGTAAAACTCCATCATGCGTCACTTTTTAGAATGGCGTTTGGCAGAGTCTTACACTAAGCAGTCATTATAACAGAAATTAGTCAGTAAGAACCTAAGAGTTTATATTAAGTACTAGAGTTCGTGGCAGTGACGTCCCCCAGTTAAATGAAAGGGGGCTACTTGTGCCCACTATGGGATGCTGAACCTCAAGGGCAAGACGTGCAGCTCAACAGACGGGTGAGTACTGTCAGAGACTTACTTGGAGGCGTCTTAGCGGTCTTAGGAGGAAATCTACAAGCTTGTACTGAATATATGGGGGCAGGGTGGTATTTAATATACTAGAGCTCGTGGGGAGCTGGGTGTGGGCTCAGATTGTTCGTGTAAATGGGGGCACGCCGACCATGCCGATGAGGGTAAAAAGGCCCGTATGTCTGACACGTGTGATGTCACTACTGCGAGTTCTAGTATTATATATAACCTTTTTGGTCAGAACCCAACTCACATTTCTTGGTTGGGCAGGATGCATTCACTGGCCTTGGGGGAACGATATCTACAGTTGGCCAGCCAATCAGACTCCTCGTTACAGAAGGGATCCACGCTGAACTGAGCTGTGTCTCCCTCTGCCTGTCGTAACGTGCAGGGGCAGTGACCCGTCGCGTTCAGGGGAGGCAACCGTGACTCTGCCTCCAGCCAGCTGGAACAAAGGGCTTCAGAGTCTGTGGAGTTGGCGAACTCAACGGGGAAAACGTCGGAGTAGATGGAGGGACCCAGCCTGAAGAGAGACGGGATAGCTCTGTTAAGTCCAGTTAAAAATTTATAGACCAAGCCTTTTTTTACTTTACGGATATGATTTCAGCAAGAATATGCCCAAATTGACAGCTCATTGTCAGACTCCATGATACGTCACTTTTCATTCAAAATGGCATATGGTGGAGTCTGACATTAAGCAGTCAAAAAGCTCAATTTAAAATGGTGCTAAAATTGAAACTGATAATCCAACAAATACAGACACAGCATGCAGTGTCCTTCCAACAGAACCAAAATCTGTCTGCATCCCAAACCTGCAATGCTCGAACAGTTCTTTTTGTCAGGCAAAGCAACATATAAATAGCCAAACTTTTACCACGAACATACCAAGATAACAGAAATACCAAAAAGAAACCAAAGGAGCAGACCACAGCAAAGCATCCAGCAACCAGCTTATCATCATCACCATCTACCTCTTTAACCCCAGTACAGGACAAAGGCCACCAAGAAGGCCCCTCTGTCTTCCTCTGCTCCGTGTGATCATCTCTACCTCCAGCCAGCTGAGCTTCTATATTCCTGAGATCTGCCTCGAGATCTCATTCCCATGTGGATTTTGGCCTTCCTCTTACCAACCAACTACGTTTCTTATTTACTTACCTATCCCTTAGTCTTACATGACCATTGGGGCACCAAGGATGATCGGGCAACTATTTTTCTTAGTTTAGTTTTAGTAAGAGTTTTACGGTACTTGCAACACAATAAGGTCATATAAGTGCCGAAGATTAGAGGTGTTACAAGAGCGTAACAAATACAAAAAAAGAAGGAAGGGAGATTGAGACGATAAATTTTTTATAGGAAAGAAGGAGCACACTACACCAGAGCACCCGACAACCACCCACAACCATTTTTCTCCATCCTTCTCTATTTTCAGCCGTTCGAAGGGCTTCACCCAACTTACAACCTGTCTGTTCCATTATGTTGTCTTCTCATCTCTTTTTCTGTCTGCCTTTCCTTCTCCCTCCTTGAATAGTACCCTGTAGGATCATCTTTGCAAGTCCTGTTGATCTTATTTGCCCATATCATATCAATTTGCGTTTTTTCACAGCGGTAAGAAGATCTTCATAGGGCTCAATAGCATGCCTGATTTTGTCCCAACTACACATATTGTAAGAAAGCCACCTAGTAAAAAAACTAAAAGACAAAGACACACAACGAGGACACGAACCCGCCACAGTGTGAGGACAAAGCAGTCACTCTGACCACCGCCACTCCCTGGCCCTGGAAGTCTGAGGGCACTTCCACCTCGTATTTGCCGTTGCTGCTGCGGGGAGACTCCTGGGAGAACACGGTCAGTAGCCCAGGGACCTCGCCAGTCATCTGGGGGAGGGGGGGGGGGAGGAAACAACAAATATTGTTTATTTGTGAGTTCTCACGGTAGTTAATTCTACTTTGGATTTTAGTTTAGTTCTGTTTTAGTTCTAGTACGAGTTTTACGGCACTTGCAACACAATAAGGTCATATAAGTGCCGAAGAATAGCGGTGTTAGAAGAGAGTAACAAACATAAAAAAGAAGGAGAGACCAGGACGAAAGATATTTGATAGGAAAGAAGGAGCAAACCATATCAGAGCACCCGCAAACCACCCACAGTTTTAGTTTTATGGCGCTTGTAACTACATAAGCCAGAGTAGTTAGGAAAACTTTAGTTTTAGTTTTAGTAGAGGTTTTACGGCGCTCGTAAATTGATAAGGTCATATGAGCGCCAGAAGATTAGAGGTGTTACAAGAGAGTAACAAACATAAAAAGGAGGGGAGATAACGACGATAGATTTTTGATAGGAAAGAAGAAGCAAACCACACCAGAGCACCCGTCAACCACCCACACAAATATTGTTTATTTGTCAGTTCTCACGGTCGTTAATTCTAGTTTGGTTTTAGTTTTACGATGCTTGCAACTACGTAAGCCACAGTAGTTAGGAAAACTGATCTTCTTTGTGTCTGTTAGAGATATAACAATGGTCAATAAGAGCAGAAAATGAAAGTTTTTTTAGTCTGAGTCTGAGGGACAGTTTTGCGACACTTGAAACACAAACAGGTCATACAGGTGTAGAAGATTCGCTTTGTTATTGGGGAGAAACGGACAAAGAAAAGAAAGAGAAGAGATAAGGACAACGGATGTTTGATAGGAAAGAGGGAGCAAACCACACCAGAGAGCCCACCAAACACCCACAGGAAATATAAAACAATTTCATTAAAGCAAGGATGAAGCAGCTATTAAGTAAGCAACCAAAATGCTTTCTCTGTCTTCATACAGAATCCGAAAATTGAAAAAGTGTTCAACTAAAATACAACAGAGTCGTATACAAAATCTACCAGCAGCTCAGAAATAAGTGCTGAAATCTCCAACAAAAGACAAAAAGTCCTAGGCTGAGCAGGCAAAAAGCGAGCAAGACAGAAAGACAAAACAAGAGAGGGACGAGAAAGAAGTAGAACTCATCAATGTGCCCTCTAACAACCCATGTGCTGAACCATCTATGTTTATCCAAAAGGACAAGTGGTTACTTGAGGGAAGCACTGCGCTGCCAAGAGCGAAATGCTCGCAGATAAAGGGATTTGAAAACAACAACAGCAAACAACATGTTTATCCAAACCACAATGAGGCATCACACACCCCTCCCCTACATAACCCAGTGGGTCACTCACCCTGTACTCCAGGACCTCAATCCTGTAGCGTGCAGCATCCATAAAGTCCAGCTTATCGCTCCAGGACACTCGCACTTTCGCCCCGGTCACCCATCGCTCCAGGCTGTGCCTTTTCACTAGTGGCTTCACGTCCATTACATTCTCTGGGGAAGAACAGACAAAGGAATGGTGAGAGGAGGTGGCTGCAATTAACATCGTTGCAGAAAGTCGAACAAATGAATGTAAAAATAAAAGGGG